CAAGTACCCCCCCTCCATCCTGTAAGCTCATCCAAGTACCTTCCCCTCCATCCTGTACGCTCATCTTAGTACCTCCCGCTCCATCCTGTAAGCTCATCCAAGTACCTCCCCCACCATCCTGTAAGCTGATCAAAGTACCTCCCCCTCCATCCTGTAAGCTGATCTAAGCACCTCCCTCTCTAGCCTGTAAACTGATCTAAGCACCTCCCCCTCCATCCTGTAAACTTATCTAAGTACCTGCCCCTCCATCCTGTAAACTGATCTAAGAACCTCCCCCTCAGTCTTGTAAACTATTTTAAGTACTGACCCCCTTCGTCATGTAAACTGATCTAAGTACCTCCTCCTCCATCCTGTAAGCAAATCTAAGTACCTCCCCCTCCATCCTGTAAGCTGATCCAAGTACCTCCCCCTCCATCCTGTAAGCTGATCCAAGTACCTCCCCCTCCATCCTGTACACTGATCTAAATACTTCCCCCTCCATCCCGTAAACCGATCTAAGTACCTCCCTCTCCGTCCTGTAAACTGATCTAAGTACGGCCCCCTCCGTCCTGTAAACTGATCTAAGTACCTCCCTCTCTGTTTTGTAAATCCCTGCTGTAAGCTAATCGAAGTCCCTCCCCCTCCATCCTGTAAGCTGATCCAAGTACCTCCCCCTCCATCCTGTAAGCTGATCCAAGTACCTCCCCCTCCATCCTGTACACTGATCTAAATACTTCCCCCTCCATCCCGTAAACCGATCTAAGTACCTCCCTCTCCGTCCTGTAAACTGATCTAAGTACGGCCCCCTCCGTCCTGTAAACTGATCTAAGTACCTCCCTCTCTGTTTTGTAAACTGATCTAAGAACAGCCCCCTCCATCCTGCAAACTGATCTAAGTACCTCCCCCCCAGTTCTGAAAGCTGATCTATGTACCTCACCTTCCGGCGGTGTCAGTACTTCCCACTCCATCCTTTAAACGAACACAAGTACCTTCTCCTCCTGTCCATCCGTATGCAAAAAAATGCTGCATTTCCAGTTCCAACGTTCAGATGGCATGTAGCAAGTGAGCATTTATGTAACATTCTAGCATGCTAGGCAAAATGTAAAAGTTATTTCAGAGCTTTCGAAGGCACTAAAAGTATTTCTTTGAGTAAAATAATTTTCATATAGCTAGTTTTGCAACCTACCTTTGCCGCCTCTCCACCAAGATATCTTTGGGTTTCTCTAGCTCTTGGGGTGGTTTGGGCGTGACCTTTTCTGGCTGTGTTTCGGTTCCCTGAGGCTGCGTCCTGTCGGCGTCACGGTCATTGAACCATTCCTGGTCAGTTTTCCTCTGTTTGGGGGAGGGACGGAAAGCATAACTGGGATCTTGGCGCTCTTCCTCCAGGTCCAGAGAGTGAAGGCTTTCGTGGTATTGGTCAGATTCGCTCAGCTGCGAGCTCCCCTGGCTAACATTACCGGAGGAGCCATACCGGCTACTCCCGGCAGGACTGTGGTTAGAAGGGGGGAGAAAAAAAAGGAACAGTTATTTATACGATGACACAAGGTGAAAGAAAGACACCTAGAGGCTGATGCAAAGAAAGAGCAGAAAACGGAAAATGTTTAACAGGCCGATGCTTAAACATTGGATCTGGTTAAAGTCAACTTGGATTTCTTCCTTTTGATGCAAACTTTAGAATATCCTTAACTGGACTTCAAACCTTCTACCTTCCCTCTGCACCTCCAGGTGCCCCTGCTAATAATCAATTGCCAGAAATGATTTCTACTAGGGATGCACTGATACTAGTATTGGTGCCCATACTGGTTATTTGGGCGAGTGCTCATACTCGCCCAAATGCTCCGATACTTATCCCCAGTCAGAGGGAGATCTCCCTCTCACCGGCAGTACCGAGGGAGCCGGCTTCTTTTCCAATCAGGAAGACGGGCAGTGGGTTGTGACCCGCCTCCCAGCTTCCTGATTTGCTAGGAAGCCGGCTCCCCTTTTGCTAGGCAGTCTGGCTTCCTAACCAATCAGGAAGCCTGGCGGCACGTAACAATTTGCCTCCCGGCTTCCCGATTGGTCAGGAAGCCAGGCTGCCTTGCAACAAGTGAAGCCGGCTTCCTATCTAATCAGAAAGCCGGACAGCACCTCATAACTCCCCGCCCGGCTTCCTGATTGGTCAGGCAGACAGCCTCGGCAAGTGAAGTCGATGTTCTTTCGCTACAACACAGCTTCACAGGCAATCAGGAACCCGGGCGGCGGGTCATGATCCGCCATCCGACTTCCTGATAATTGGGGCAGACGGCACTGGTACTCGGTATCGGTGAGTACAGAAAAAAAATATATCGGTATCAGTGCATCCCTAATTTCTACAATACCTATATACATTGTATGTTAAGAGCTGCAGTAGTAGCATGCCAGTGTTACCCCAAACATACATAAAAATGGCACGACGTGAAGAATGAGAGAGAAGTAACTATTTTAAATGGTTCCGGTTTTAATTTTCTCTACTAGTTGGAAGTTACCCAATACTGTAAAGTGTCTGACAAAATCCAAGACATGAAAAGGATACACCCGTGAAATTTTGGCCTCAATTTTGTCACTCTTGGCCCTGTCTCATCTGGGATATACTCCCTGTATAATCAAATGTTTGTGGACACCACTCCAATGATTTAGTATCAGGTGTACTGGTAATGCAACAGCATACAAAGTCATTTTAGACCAAGCTTGTAACAGTTTAGTGAAAGCCCTTTCCTGGTCCCAGTATGACTGTCCCCTGTGTATAACGCCAGCTCCATAAAGACATGGTTTGACCAGTTTGGTGTAGAGGAACGTAAGTGTCCTGCACAGAGCCCTGACCTCAACCCTACTGAACACCTTGGCATAGAACTGGAACTGTAAGCCATGTCTTCTCATCCATCATCAATACCGGTTCTCGCAAATGCTTTTTTTTGACTGAATAGGTACACATTCCTTTCAGAAATAATCCAAAATCTTGGGGAAAGGCTTCCCAGAAGAATGGGGGTTGTTATAGCTGCAGAGCAGGAGCAAACTCTATATTAATGCCGCATAGTATTGGAATATCTAACTAGTTCATATAGGGGTGATAATCAGGAGTCAACACACTTTTGGCCGTATGGTGATAAAGACTAACAACGTTTTCCAACAAAAAAACATTTGTCTCCAATGCTGACTTCCTAATACCTTATTTGAACCCTTTGTTGCCCTAGTACACTCCTCAGCCACCTTATGTGCCTAAAACAAGATACCTTCAGGACTTTGGCCATTTAATATTAGACAAAAGCTACATACTGTAGATGTCAGTCAAATTTGAAAGTTAAGCCTTGAAATGCATATAGGCAACTCATCCAACCTCAATACTTCAGTATTTCATCCAGTCTTTGCTGTAAGGTCCCAGTCCATCCCAATGCCTCCTGACAGTAATCTGGAAACTTCTTTTGCTTATACATTTGTAAAGCAGCAGAGGAATCTGCACACCTACTGTTGGTTCCTTGCCATCTATCTCGTGGAAAAGGCCTGATGTGTCAAACTATCTCCAAAGAGACCAATAACAGCCAACAATCTGGTTCAAACATGCCTTGGAAGTCCTAACCTGATTGGTGACATCAAGCAAAAAGAGGAAATCTGCGCAGCACAGATTCAGGAAGCACAACCACCAACAGCACAGACTAAGAACCTTGTAAAAATTCTCTTCGTCGCCACCCTACCTCAATAACATTTGGGGAGACACCAGCAGGATCGTTCAGCTCAGGTCCTGGCAATCATTGATGTCACTGGTTGCCAGGAGCTGAGTGGGATGCCGACCAGAGCATCCCAGGTTGCTAAGATCTGGACAGGCTATTGTTGGCTGGCACGTCGGCTGCCTTATGTTTGTAATAATGGCACTTTTGTAGAAAAGGTTGCTGACCCCTTCCATTGATACTAAGACACAACAAAGTCATATACATTATAATACAGTTTCCACAGGCGATTTCACCTCCAAGATCACTTCACCCATTACTTTGTAGACTCAACACAGAGCTTGAATTAACTATTAATCTAACTATTTGCGCACACACAAACACGCGCACAAAACACACTCTAAGAATTAAAAAAAAAAATGCAATTAGTGTGAAAATAGGTCCTGAAGGTTTTTGCTGAGCGCACATTTTTGGAGAGGAACGGAAAGGAAAAATATAAGCTGGTCCAGGTCAGCTGTTTAGCAGATTGCTACTACCTGCAAGAATGGCACCTGTAAAGCCTGTTTTCCGCACCACCTTCATGGGACTTCCAATATACCTTTGGCGTACAATGTGCATATAACACAGGAGGAAAAAAAAAATCTATATATACACACAGCACATATGATCAACAGCTAAATCCAAAGCCAGAACCTCAGATGAAAAGGCAGCAACATTTGGAAGCCTATAAGAAAAAACAAAACTGCCACCTAATTAGGTAGATTCTAGTTCCAGGTACAACATCCTTTATGACTTTTGAAAGTTGAATTGTTTATATATAATTTATATATAAGTTATATATAATTTGTACCTATCACTAGATTACTCCTTAAAGTGGAACTGTAGGCTTAAAACTGCATACCTTTCTTGGGTTTCTCCTCAATTAACACCCCCCTCTACCCCCACACACACTATCATCAAGTAGATCTCCTGTCATTATTCAGTGTTGGGAATAATCATCTCATTCAAGCTGACCCACTATGGTGTACATGTACCAGCAACCCCAGGAAGTGGAGGTCCAAATAGTTAAGAAGCATAATTGGTGCCCCATCAGTGGTCAAAGAGCCCCAATTTATTTATTTTTAATAATAGAGCCAATGCAATAAATAATTGATGGCAACGCTTGCGGCTTGTTTGACAGCAAGTTTGCCTGCGATACAGCAGGCATTTCACAAGCATTACAGCAAAGTATTCCATTAATAGTCCAGCACAGTCCAAATCTCAGTTGTTAGAATTGTCCAAGCCCTGGGAGGAGGAGGAGCCTTGCAACCCTTGAAATGCCCTGGCTCATTTATTCCAGTGATCCATTTTTTCCTGGACCCTGTGACCATTAGGTGAGGCTTTGTTACTGCTTCTTAACATGGTTGGATGTTTTATTGCTTCCCCTGTGCTCATTGAGGAGATTCACTCTACGTAAATGTCCTGATAAAACTGGTCACCAAAGCTGCAAAATGTTGGGTAGTTACCTGGGAAAGGAACAAAAGAAAAATCTTTGCCCTTAGTCCGGAGAGATTTGGGGCAGGAAGTGTAGATTAATCTCCCCAACGGGTCACAGATGAAAAAAAGCTCTCCGTGTCAGCTGGATGCTCTGCAGGGAGCAACAGCCGTCCCAGCAAACATGGATCAATACCTCAACCTATCTGGAGGTGGGAGGCTGCTGCAAAGACTTGTAATGACAGCAACGAGGCAGAGAGCAGGAGCTGACAGAATGTGACGGTCAGGAAAGTTCTACAATCATGCAATCCTGACAGCAGTGGAAAGATTCTCATGATTCCACATCATTGGTAAACATTCCTTAGAGCCAACAATGCCCAAGAGGCTCCGGTTGTCAGTAGCACTGGAAGGATTGGCACAGCGACACAGGGGGCTGCCAGGTAGACAGATACAAAATTCCAGAGAGTGTCAGGGTCCTATTAACCATGTAAGGGTTGTACATTTAAAAAAAATGCAGCAAAAAATAAATACAAAAATGAACAGCATGTTTATTTATGCTTCATTAAAAAAAGAGAAAATTAGAACGTTAGATCTAGTAACAGGGTCTCTTTAACCAATTGAGGATTTTGAATTTGAGATATATAAATATATAATGCAAGGTTTTTGGAAAAATCTCTTACATCTAGCTCCTTTCCCTTGCTGCTATTACTGGCTGTCAAAATGACAGCCAGGA